AACTCGCTAATCAATCACAGTCATATGATTAATGCTATATATCATCATTCATGTGAATACTTGTGATGGTTTCGAACTCAAGATACTTTGATAAGATCATTTTGCTTTAACTAGAATGACAAGTGAATTCAGCACTCTCATTGAGCAACTCTCTTAACCATATTGTAGTTAATGCTACATACATCATTCGTCAATGCTTCTTTATTTACTAGCTTATTACCCGGCCCGTTGGCCGGATTACTGTATGTTACCCACTTGTGGAATGGGAGAGAAAGCAAGTGAGAGTGAAGGGATTGGGATTCCACTTGATTAGGACCGGCCCACTAATCCGATTCTTCCCGACCCGCCCCAACCTAAAGGGTCAGAAAGAGCCAATAAGAAAATACGAACGGAGAGAATTAGTAATATATCTTGACTCTTCAGAAGTGGGTCAAACAGGATAAAGGTTGGGTGAGGGCAATTTTTAGCGCTAAGCAGAGTTCTGGGTTGAATAACTTTACTTAGGCCTAGAAATTGGTGTTGATGCAGACTGCAGTTTTTATCATACCATCATCAATCATCATTGAATTAGTCCTGGGCATCCCTCCCCGTTGTCGGTCTGAATTTTAATGATGGTTTCATTCCTTGCACCAGCCATATCAGCGAGTTGTCATCTCGAGCATGATTTGCCTATGTACAAATGATACAATTAGAGTATGAAACTGAATTCAAAGAAAAGGAAAAGAGAATTCTATCACATGCCAATAAATACACACATAATAGTTGAAGCTAAGTGAAAGTCATTACTCGCACATCAATTCTCAAAAATTACAGACTAAACAATGGCTAGAATGGCACTGAAACTACCAAGAATCATGGACGAAACAACTTGTCAAATTAAATAATCCTTATACTGAAACTACCTTCTAACTTGAAAGGCAAAATACACTTGGGTAGCCAAAACTTTGACGGTTTTGCCAAATATAGCCACTTTTGGCGAAATACCAAAAATAGCCACTTCCGTCCAATTCTTTGACGGTGTTAGTAAACGTGCTGACTGGACTAACGGAAAGACTGACGTGGCAACAATTTCGTAAGTAACAATGACAGGTGGAAAACCATCATAATTTTATCTTTTTACTTTAATTAACTTAAATAAAACAAAATTACAAAAAAGAAATATAGAACAATAATATCTCTTCCCTCACCCTTCCGCAGTTCCGCTACCTCTGCTTCTCGTCCATCTTCTCCTCCCCACTCCACCTCCATGTCTCCACCACTGATCCTAAAACCACTTTTCTTTTCTCACTACACAAAATAGAGGAGAAGCTTTGAATATGATGTCCAACGCTCCTGGTCCATAAGAAATTGTATCCCAGATTCGGATTTGAAAACCACCCAAATTCAAGAACCCTAGTTCTTCCTCCCAAATTCATTAGATTCTTGAATTCGGGCCTGGGGGTGGTGATGCTGATCGTTGACGACAATAGGAGGGATTTGGTACCGGTGGTACCCGACGGGGAACACTGGAAACGGCCGGCGTGAGCTCGTCAGCGTGAGTTGATGCAGAGGCACGACCCGCCGCTGTGAGTCGATTGCTCCTTTGCTTTTTCCCAGCCGTTGTGTCGATTCCTTCTCCATCTTCTTCTTCCTAACTAAAATCGATCGCCTTCCACAACCCTTCTTCATCCCTCTCACTGTCTCTCTATTCCGAAACCCCAGCAGGGTCAACTGAGAAGTTTCCGGCTCGGAGGACTCTGAAGCGGATTGTTGGGTTCTGAATCAGAGAACAGAGGTGGGGGATGCGAGGTTGTTGTTGTGTGATTCGTCGCCGGAGTCGTACCCTGAAGTCGAGCTAACTTTAACCTCCGGCCTATTGATCTCCACTTCTTCATCTTTCTCACGCGGATTGACGAAATTCGTCTGTGCGTCCGGTCCCTGGAGCTTAATCGCGACGTTGTCATAGACCATCGCCGCCTCCTCCGCGGTATCGTAGGTTCCCAGCCAGAGCCGAACCCTCTTCGCCGGATCCCGAATCTCGGCAGCCCATTTACCCCACGGCCGCCTCCTCACTCCTCTGAACTTCCTCTCACCAGACTGAACCGCCGCCGCTGCAGCTGCCGCAGGCAGCACTTCCCTCGCCGGCTTCCCAATCTCCGAAGAAACCGGCGACAGGGTCAGAGGCTATGGAGATGAGAAGTGGGGGTTCTCTTGGACGATTGAGGTGACGTTTCGGCTGCCGGATTGCCGGATCTTGGAGGCGGTTCCGGGGAAGCTTTGATTGTTGGAGATTCCTCATCGTTGAAGCCGCTTGATCTGGATTAGGATTGATGGGAGAGAATTTGGGGAGGAAGGTGAAAGAGAGAATTGAGAAGAAAGGGGTCTTCTGCGGGCGGCGGCAGAGAGAAGAGAGGGACAGATAAAAAAATGTATTTATTTATTATTTATTTATTTTTTTTAGTTTTCACAAATAAAAAAATTTAGTTCAGGTAAAAAAAGAGTATTTGGAAAAAAAAATTTTATCCACCTGGAATTATTAAAAGATAAAATAAAATGACGTGGCAATGATATCGATGACTTGTCGCTGACGTGTGTGATGATTTGGCATCCTAGTCAGCCTGACGTTAACTTAACTGACGGAGTTTCTAACACCATTAAAGTTTGTAACGGAAATGGCTATATTTGTCATTAAACTTTCAAAATTCTGGCTATTATTGGTATTTTCCCAAAAATGGCTATTATTGTCACAAACGTAAAAGTTTTGGCTACACAAATGAATTTGGCCAACTTGAAATAAGACATGATCACAGTTCATAGCACTCTTATCACTATGAATTGGTTGCAGCTCGTCCTTATCACTACCTCACAAGCTCAATTCAAACAGAATAGACACAGTTATGTAAGATAACCATATCCTTACTGATCATAATTCCTTTCTTCACTCCATTTTTGTAGGAGAAAAGAGTTATCCCCCTCTCATGCATTTCCCTTTCCCCCTCTCTTCTCCCTCTTCTTCACAAACCGATCCCTAAACCAGCTACAACAACACAAAATAGCCTTCGCCTCTGCCATCTCCATCTACTGAACGCGTTGGTGGCAAGACAGGATTGCAGAAGCAAAATTTTCTAAAATAAAACTAATTTTTTTGAAGGAGACTCAACCACGAAAAAAGAGTAAAGCAACAATGCTAATAGTTCAGATGGTTGGTTTTGATGTTATACGTTGCTTTTGTTATGGTCTCCAGTGTATCAACTACAACAGAGATGTTTCCTCCAATCATCTTTAGTGCACGATTTAGAAGTAAGTCCTCTTGTTTGTGTCAAACGGAAACATTCATGGGTTCTTAACTCCCCTGTTAGTGTAAATGCATCAGCAGCAAAGAAGTTTGACAACACAGCAAGCACCCAGGCAAAATGATACAATGCAGTAGGTGATATGTGTCTCAAAGGTTTTGAGTTACTAAAGTTCATGTTAAAAATAAACATGAATTAAAATGGATTATTCTATTAAGCAAACATCCCCTCTAATCATACAAAGATCAGATATCTAATTCACAAACAATTAAGCCATAAAAAATCATCACACATCCATCACCTTTGATTGCCTATATTTGGTTTTTCGCAAAGTTGTGGACTCTTAAGGGTAAAGTTCATGGGTAGTCTGTTTCATAACTCTAGAGAGCACAGTAAGCAGCCACCAACCAGACACAGTGCGGTAGGCAAATATGATTCTCAATTCACAATTTCTCACCACCGGAAGTAAGAACAGAACATAATAAGCGTAGCGTTCATGGGTGGTCTGTTTCATAGCACTACTACACAATTTGTTAAAAAAGAAAGAAAGGTATTTAGCATCACGGCGGAACAACTTTTACAGGCCAACAACGACAACATGCTGCAATCACCAGAACTGGTATCACAACTCATAGGGAAAGTCAAAAGATTTACTCTTAAATTAAGTAGTTACAACATCGAGCAATCGTCAAGCACATACACCATCACAAAAGTCACAGAACCTGATTCACAAAGCATTCAAACATTTGAGGACATTTCTGCAAAGATACAACTCATATGTCTTTTTTCCAAGCCATTTCCATCAACATGCTATTAAATTTGCAATGCATAAAACAAATGGGCCAAAACTTGAAATTCAACCTGTTTGACCGACCCATGCCAAATTCTAATTATTCTTTACTTTTAAACTTTCTATTTGAAAATAAAAAAATAGTGAAAGAAAAAAGACGACTACAATTCGCCATTTGCACATCACTTATTCGGGAATAAAACCATATAAATTCAAAAGGAACTGAAAATGTTGAGGATCGTTTTAATGTTTAAAATAATCAAATAGATTTTTATGTTTAGTTTTTTACTAACAAATACCAAACGATTCCCTATAAAATACACTATAATTTTATCATTATGATGTCAAATAATTATAAAATATATATTTGAAATGATAAAAATTGGACTAATTGGGTTGGTCGAGGTTGAACCATTGAATAACTTTAAAATACATTATATTTTAGCCACTAAGATATAAAATAATAGCATAATATATATTATGCCAGAGAAAATAGCTTGTTTTAGAATGGCAAACCCATGATGTTCATTTGTTTTACTTGATGACCAAATCCCATGTAGGTCAGGCCCATTCAACTCTTTTATTTTATGGTTAGCGGTTAGCCCATTAGATACCATGCATTAGTCTATTGTTAAATTTTTTATTTTTAACAATAAAAAGGAGTATTATTTTTGCCTTTTCATATATATTTTATCACCACGGATAAATAAAAGGGTATAAAGAAAAAAATTGACACTCCTTGACTCGTTTAAATCCGCATGTGTACGGTAAGTTGGCCCGTTCCATAGAGAAAAGAGAAAAAATTGACACTCCCTATTTTACCCTTCCTACAAACGCTCATGGAACAGGGAATTTGAAATGGGGGAAGAGTTTTTTCCACCCTGCTATTATATGTTTTTAATTTAAAAGGATACAACAAATGTACTTAGTGTGATTGGTTATGATCATTGCCTTTCTTTAAAATGGTCATGGTTCGAATCCCAGTACACACCTTTTTAATGAATAAAAAAAAGTAATTGTGAAGACCAAAATGTCCTTCCTACTTTCACTCTCGTTGCACGAAATTTGAAATGGGGCTCTCGTTTTTCCCTTCGGTGTATTATATTATGTGTAGATTTTTGGATTAATAGGCATACATGCCCCTCAACTATGAAAAAGTAACAAATGAGCCCCTGTACTATGCTTCTAATGAAAAAAGCCCTTGTACAATAGTTCAATAACAAATAAGCCCTTCCGTTAAGATTCTCTGTTAACTAACTCCAATTTGCACTCGAAATGTCCAAAATACCCCTGTTCTGTTTATAATATATGTTTAATAAAGCAATCCTTTGAGTTTTAGTCAAACACCCCGTAAATGAGATTGAATTGAATAATAAAGCCACTTTTTGTACCCAATTATCACTCCCCCAGCCCGTACAAGTGGTAGCAAATAATCCCTTGCCTTCCTCTGCAGATATGAACCAGACGGCGTAGCTGGTTAAGTTTCCAAGCATTGAAGGGTAATGTTAGATTAACGCAAAGAAGAGGCGGGCAGACAGGCGTTGATTCCGTCGGTGTGGCTGCTGAAGATTCCAAACTCTGGCTGGGAAATAGGCTCGCTGAAGCTCTTCATTCAGCCTTTGCCCAGATCGACAAATTGGCAAAATCGATGGAGTTCGACCAAGTTTCAACATCATCGGAACAAAACTGTGGGTTAGTCACTTTCTCTATTGTCATTTGCGGGAATATAAGGTTTGTTGTTTGGTTGGATTGGAGTTTGTTCTGGCAAATAACAGGTCAACCAAGAACCCTAATATTGTCGTTATCAGGTAATTGATGATGAATTGGTTTTGTAGGCGAATTGCGTTTGTGCTTTTTTTTTTTTTTTGAACAGTTGCTTTCTTATATTGATGGGGATAACTGGGGTTGTGAATAATGATTCACCAGATCCAGCAGTTGAATGGGATGAAGCAAATTCTGATTCGGACGATAGTGACTATTCGAGATTGGGTCTTGGGCAAGTGGGAAGATGCTGATTACTGTGATAATGCTCAAGCTATTGGCATTGAAGAAGTTGGGTTTAGTTCTGACGACTATGGCCTATGGGAGTTATGATGAAACTGATGCAGAAGATGAGGTTGCAGACCATGGCGTTAGGAGAAAAAATGTCTATCCCAATACAACCCAAACACAGCAACCCCATTCTTCCAGTTGTGTATGACGTTTCCAGACATAAAGGAAGGTAGAGGTGCTATTCGAGATCATGCTGTGAAGGAAATATATTCTGCTTTTGTGGAACACAAGATAGGAGGAGCTGATGTATAGATCTAGTATATGGAGTTTGATTATATATATATATATAAAAGGGGCAAAAAAAATTTGTTGTTATGATATTAGAGGGGCATTTTAGACATTTCGAGTGCAAATTAGGGTTAGTTAACGGAGAATGTTAACAAAAGGGCTTATTTGTTATTGAACTATAATACAAGGGCTTCTTTTGTTAGAAGCATAGTACAGGGGCTCATTTGTTAACTTTTCATAGTTGAGGGGCTTGTATGCCTATTAATCCTTTATTTTTTGGTATTCTCATTTCCATTCGTATAATCAAATGATAAGTTGTGCAGAATACTGGAAAAACAAATTAAAACTGGAAATTATATTAAATTGAGAAATTAAAGATCGATATGGCGCAAGCCGCTTACAAGTTCCACATCACAAATGAATTCTGGAAATGTGACCAAATTACATAACGATCCATGAAATGAAAAATAATAATAAAATTGAATTTACTGCAACATATAGGCAACGAAGGTGGACACGAGGGAAATAGCCATGAAGGGCAAGGTGGCGGCGGCGGCAGCGCTATGAGGTGCTTCAGCAGTGGGTCCAGCACCGGCTGCCGGCCCAGCGGCGGGCCCACCAGCAAAGGCTGCGCCTTCCAATCCTGCTCCAGCGGCGAGAGGCGATGGGGCGGCGGCGCCGACAGCCTCCTCCGCGGCCAAGACTGCGCTCAATGAGGCGGCAGCGTAGACAATAGCGACGCAGGCAACCTTCTTCATCCCCATTTTTTTCTGGGTTCGGGATTGATTAATAAAAGATCAAGAAGATTGTGTGAGAGAGGGAGGGAAATGTGCCTGGCTGCTCTTTTATTTGCTTCTTTCTTTATTTATTTATTAAAGCAGACAGACACAAAAAAGCCCGAGGATTAAAGAGGGGCGGAGAAGGGTATTTATACCGGTTTAAGAGAATACTTTTGTTAGAGCGGTGATTAATTTTAGTAAATTGATTTGTTGGTACTTAGTTACGGATTATCCTGCTTACCATCCATTTTGATTGATCCCGCTAAAATTAGACATTTCCCCTGGAATGTCTAAGAAAAAAAGAACGAGACAATTCAAATTGTTATTCTTACTTTACCCATTCAAATTTCCACAAAATGCAACAATATATAAATTCACATGCCAAAATGGTATTTTTACCATCAAGCAAGATATTGCAATCCAATTACCAAATATTTGATTCAAACGACCAAATATTTGGTTTAAATTACTGAATTTAGAAAACTTTGCGAATCAAATTGTTGATACTCTATCCTCCAGCAATTCAAATGAGTATAAGATAAGAAAATTTTATATTGTCAAAAGCCAAAATGATACATTTTTTCTATGGAACAATACATTTTAAATTGAATTTATTCAAATTGGTACTTAATGGACTTCATCTTCGGTGGATAATAGGATCAATAGACTTTAGGATTTTGCTACGGTGACATGCATGTCACCGTGACATGGACTTTTCGGTCGACCTAATCCAAAAAGCGGTCGACCGAATTGGCTAATTCATGTATGTGAGGTTCCGAGACGCGGTCGACCTCTTACATAATATGGTCGACCTCTTTGGTGGTCTAACAGAATGAAAGGTCGACCCAAATACCTCATAGGCCGACCCTTGTGCACCTAATAGGTCGACCGCATTCACACCGTATCCGTATTGGATAAGGATTCCAACACTAGAAAGGTTCCACAATTGGACAAGGAAACGAATTGGGTCGACCCATGCACGTCCTAAATCTCTATAAATACGAATATAAGTTCCCTTAAACGCCACCAAGTCTGAATTAGGTTTTTTCCCCCCGATTTAGAGCCTTTGAGAAGAAGATCGTTCGCGGTTGCTGTTGTACGTGTTGGAAGTGGTCGACCAGGTCGAAGGTGTGGTCGACCTAATGTAGCATTCGCTGTCATCTTTTCTAATACGTGATTTCCACCGTCTAATTTGATATATTGTTGCGTGCAGAATACCATTCGGTCGACCTTGACATCAACCTGGTCGACCTGACGAGACAATTCTTCGGATTTGAATTTAGGGCACAACACTTGGACTTCCGTACTTGCGAGGTAACGAAGATCAACCCAATTGGTCGACCGGAATGTGTTTCAAGGTCGACCGTTTCTGTTTGTTTTGGTTATTCAACCTGAATGTCGACTTTGGCTTTGTTTGTATGACTATGTTGTGCTTCAAAAGGTCGACCTCGCTAGGGGTGGGCGTTCGGTCGGTTCGGTTTGAACCGAACCGAACTGGCATACCCCGAATATCCGAACCACAGCTTCCCTCAACCGAATTCGAACCGAGCTATAATTCGGTTCGGTTTAGCTGAACCGAATTATAACTCGGTTTGGTTTTATACTCCAAACCAAAAATATATAATCTGTCCATTTTTGGTCGCTACATTTTTGGCAATAGGCTGCAAGCTGCTGCATTTTTTGGACAATAGGCTGCTGCACTTTTGGACAATAGGCTGCTGCATTTATAGATCAGATATTGGGCTGGGGTCTGGGCCCTGGGGGCTGGGGCGCTGCGCTGGGCAATGGGATTGGGTTGGGGCCTTGGGGCTTGGGCAAATTACAAATTTCAGAATTCGGTCGGTTTGTTTGGTATTTCGGTTCGGTTCAAATGCGCCTGTGTTCCGAAATTCACCATATCCATTTCTGGATTTTGAACCTAATTGTATGCATTTCGGTTTCGGTTGGTTTTTGTTCGGTTCGGTAAAACCGAACCTAATGCCCACCCCTAGACCTCGCCAGATATCTGGTCGACCTATCCTTTTTTCGGTTAAATATTGAACTTACTTTTTTTTGTTAATTGTTATTTTCCTGCTGGATAGGTCGACCTAGGAAGAACAGAGGTCGACCTTAATGGTTGTGGTGGTCACTATTTGTCTTCCAGGTCGACCTAATAATTTGTCAGGTCGACCACGTCTTTGTTTTTTGGTGAATTGTAGAAATTTGAAGTTGAATTATGATTTAAATTTTTCTTTAAATTGTTTAGACGATGACGCATGATGAGAGACTGCATCAAGATTTGGGTGAAATCATGAAATTGTTGAAAGCCACACAAGAGAAGCTGGTGGTGTGTCAAACACAAGTCAATGACTTTCAGAAGTCCATGCGTGATTAAGTGGAGCAATTGTCAGTTCGACTGACAGATATGACTGGGATGATGCATGACGGGTTTGAGAGGCTAGAAGGTGACTAACGTGTATTCTCGCTTGTTTGATTGCAGGATGTTTGGCAAAAAAAGAAAAGAAAGTCACAAAAAGCTGCTGCCTCAAGTTCGGAATGGGAAGAGTTCAATCCCAATCTTTTCCAGACCAAGGAGCAAAGTGACAACTATGAAGAGAAGAGAATGCACAACCGAAGGGTGGCTCCTGGAAGACCATTGACGACGGATGCGTATTCTCATTTCGAGAATTACGGGTTTTTGGGACCCTTCATCCAACAAGAGTGGCTGAAGGTGACATCTCTGAATGTACCATAATACCCAAAAATGGTACAATACTTCTACAACAACATCATCTACTAGCGCAATGCAAATGGATCCATTCATGCATTCAAATCCTATGTGAATGGGGTGGTGATGCGCATCAGCAAGAATGTGTTGGCGCAAGTACTAGAGGCTCCAAACGAGGGGAAGAGATCCATTCTTACACTTCTTGGAATGAAACTCATTTCACGAGAGCCAAGCAAATCCAGACGGCATGTGGTCTTGATGAAGAGGAAGATGTTGAGGGTCGCAGTAGGCCAACGAGTAACCACCTGACAGTTCAAGCCAGAGTTCTTCACCACATGCTTTCCTACAACATTCTACCAAAGGGTGGACATCGGGAGACAGTCACCTACTTCGACATGGAGCTCCTCACCAACCTACTGTTAAACGAGAAGGTGAACTTGCCATACTTGATCTTTAACCACATGCTTACTGCTGCAGAGAGTTCAAACAGGAATCTTCCCTATGGGATTGTAACACCCTACCCTATACGTATTACCTAATCATATTGTTCATACAATTGCAGCGGAATTAATCTCGGGTGTTACATTAATTATCAAAATTTACCTAAATAAAATTTCGACATGAATTACTCGCGTAATGGGCTAACAGTTCTTCCATATGATCCTGCAAAATAATTCAACTGAATCCATGCATTCATAGACAAACACATATACTCACAACCATATGCATTGGCTTCTCATAGCCATAGTCACAGTTTCATACTACACAACTGCATACCATACTTATACATACCATAATCGTCACAACTTACACAGTTACACAAATATACACATATCATCAACTTTCCACACCTGTGGATATCTCACACTACATCAGAAGCTAGTATGCACATGAAAAACGTTCTGAAAACATTTTTTACAAAAAGGTGTGGATCACTGGCCAAAATCCCGATTAGTAGTCCAAGCACAGAATAGTTGAAGACCATAAGCGTAGCATATGTGCAAACGTATATGACATGAATGAGTGAGAGGAACCAGTATCGATCAAAGCATATAATTGCTTGCCAAGGATAGAGAGCATACCAGTCACAACTTCTGGTGCCACTTCTGCCTCACCTCGAGTCATTGCATAAACCCTTGGTGCTCCCTGTGCTCTGGTACCCTGCGTACCACTTCCTGATGGTTGATTTCGACCACCACCTCTACCACCCTGTGAACCACCATGACCACTCTGACATCCACTACGGACTCCCTGGTAACCACCCCTGAATGGGGCTCTACTTATTTGCACTGAAGGCTCGGACTGTGTAGCTCTTACTTCTCTCGAATGCGGACAGTCCCTCATGATGTGCCCAGGTTGGCCACAGTGAAAGCATACACCAGAAAATCTCCTACACTCTCCAAGATGCCTCTTCTGACAAACTTGACAAAATGGAAATTGTGTGGCTGAGGAAATTTGTGCCCTGTATGATGTTCCCGACATAGATTGACTCGATTTTCTCCCAAAACTGCTAGGACCTCTCCTGGGTGGGTAACGAGGTCCAGCATAATTTACTCCAAACTTCCTCTTCTTCTCCTCTTCTTTGGCCTTGTGTTCCTCTCGGCTCTCAACTTCATAGGCTTCATACTTAAGTGCTGCCTCCTTGATTGTGGCCATACTCTCTTCATCAACCCAGTGGACCTTTTCTTTCAACCCTATGCGCAGACCATGCAAGTATCTCATCTTCTTCTTATGCTCAGTATCCGCCAACCCATCCTCAAAGTAAAGCAGTCGAACAAACTTGATGGTGTACTCAGTAACTGTCATATTCTCCTGCTTAAGGTTGGCAAATTCATTGTTCTTTGCCCTAATAAAAGCTTCGGGAAGAAACTCTGTCTTAAAGGCCTTCAGAAACTCCTCCCAGGTGAACTGAACTCGTTCACCATTAACTCTAGAGACTGAGGACCACCAGCTCCTCGCATACCCCTTTAGGAGAAAAACAACATATTGCACTTTTTCCTCTGGGGTTGCATAAAGATACTCAAACACATCTTCCATCTCTCTCAACCACTCTACTACAGCATCTGGGCTCACATCTCCCTTAAAGTCCCTACCACCCAAACTCTTCATCTTTGCATAATCTAATACTGGCGGTCTTGCATCAACCGCCCCCACTCCTCTCGACTGGTCAGTAGGAACATTATGACAACTTCCGTGCGAGCTACAAGGAAATATTGGCCTTAGATTGATCCACACAAAATTCATTCCTCACCAAATTTCTCACTTGGTTAAAAAAAAAATTTTCCAAAATAATTACTTGAAAACATAGAAGTTCAAAACTCAATTTTGAAAACCATGATGCAGATAATTTCATCCAACATACCAATACACATAATCATGTCAAACTCAATTCCAAGTTTAAGTCATTATGGGGTACTCCCCTCCTTAGGAGTGTTTAACCTCCCATAGGGTATAGTACGCCATAACAGCAAAAAGAGGGAACCGGGCTCTGATACCAAACTGTAACACCCTACCCTATACGTATTACCTAATCATATTGTTCATACAATTGCAGCGGAATTAATCTCGGGTGTTACATTAATTATCAAAATTTACCTAAATAAAATTTCGACATGAATTACTCGCGTAATGGGCTAACAGTTCTTCCATATGATCCTGCAAAATAATTCAACTGAATCCATGCATTCATAGAAAAACACATATACTCACAACCATATGCATTGGCTTCTCATAGCCACAGTCACAGTTTCATACTACACAACTGCATACCATACTTATACATACCATAATCGTCACAACTTACACAGTTACACAAATATACACATATCATCAACTTTCCACACCTGTGGATATCTCACACTACATCAGAAGCTAGTATGCACATGAAAAACGTTCTGAAAACATTTTTTACAAAAAGGTGTGGATCACTGGCCAAAATCCCGAGTAGTAGTCCAAGCACAGAATAGTTGAAGACCATACCTCATCCTGGCTTCAACTCTAGCTCCTCTCCCACCTAACACTTATCTACTACTGCTGCTGATGATCTGCTTACACATAGCATAAGCAGAGAAGAAGAATAAAAGAGGGTCAGCTCATAGCTGAGTGAGATAATCATAGCATTGTGAGTTCATAACAGAGCATACCCCTATCATACATCAAACAATCAAGCCAAAACACTAGGATCGGACCTCAGCCATCCTCATATCCCAATAGGCAAAAGACTCAACCACCTTGACTTATGCATATGCATCTTATCATGTTTTACTTATAGGCGCCTGGCTACTCCCATGCTAATAGCTCTCCCGGGAAACATACCCCACATCCCGTCGGATGTAGTCATACATACCCCAACATCCCGTCAGATGTGGTCATACATACCCCACACCACTATGGGTGTAGTCATACCCCGACACCGCTCTGGGTGTGGTCATATCTCATAAGAATTCTTCAGTCACCACCACATGAGAGGTGTGACTATCATACATATCATAATAGAGTAATAGCATAGGGAGCCCTAATTACTATGTAGTTGACCGTGAGACCACAACACTCATATTTGGTATCCTTATACATGATTCATATCTCATCTTGCTTAATCATAATTCATTACTTGCACATGTACTTGACCAGGCCACAATTGGCTCAACATAGGTAAATCAGGAGTCGTATAATTGCACTTCCTCGGGATACACCCTCGTGCAGGTCATCCTCCTTAAAACATCATAATATTACCAGGGAATATATATTTTCCCACTTGTGCATCCAAATACAACAATCATGAAAAATCATATCCAATCACCTTCTCGAACCATCATAAGGCATATTCACAATTAAACCCACATCTGGCAACATATATGCAATCATCAACATAAACAAGGTCCATATCGATTAGGGCAAGTCAATAATATCATACAGAAGCCTATAGTTCATCATATAGCAGAAAAGTCCATACACCCCTAATCATGCCATTCTAGTTCACTTAGATCAATTCTAAGCATCAATATAATTATTGTGATACGACAAACCCGGTATGTCGTGCTAATCCCTCACCAGTTCTGGTCGTTCAAACACCGGTTTAACCTTCCCGTACTAAAACGTCAATTTCATGAACGAACCCCGAATTAAAATCCGAGACCGTCCTAATATCCCCTGCAGTATCCCCGTCAATATTAGTTCTGGGCTCCGGGTCAAATTCTCGATAAAAACACATCAAACCCTTGCCGGAGCTAAATTCAGCGATTTGGACCCCGGCCTAAATAATTGCCAAAATTCAGGGATTAGAACTAGAGGATTGATTACCTCGCTGCAGGAAGCTCGTATATGAAATTTGGGCTCAATCCGGCTTCCGGATACTCCGAAACCCTAATTTGCCTTATCGGGAATTCAAGAAATTCCTGAACCAAAAACTCGTTTTAAAGCTCTAAATCGATAAATCACGATGTATAGATGAATTAGGCATTACTTACGGGATTTTTGGATCAGTGTAGCTCAAGAATCGAGCTACGGAAATTTTCCCCGAGCTCCCCTGTGCGCGACTGTTGTCGTTCTGTTCCCTCGGTTCTTTCTCGGTGGAGAAAATGGAAAAAGATGATGGGGATGATAATTAAAGTAATGGACGGGGGAAAGGTTTATATATATATGTCGGCCGCTTAATTAATATATATATATATATATAATTAATACGTATACTTATCCGATCGATCGATAATCCGATTTTCGTCAAAATAGTGTCGAAATGCTCGATTTTAAATCGTGAAATTTTCTAGCGATCGAAATATGGGTTTTGCCGTAACGGGATGTTACAGGGATGATCCTCACTGTGCTACTTGAGCATTTTAATGTGAATTTAAGTGAAGAGGTGGGGTTAAGAATCTCAAGGCAGGAGTTCTATACTGTTTCATCTATGAAAAAGATGGGCTTTGAGCTGCGTAATTGTGGTATGTCAGAATAAACAATGCTCATGGTGCCCATGGTGGTGATGATGATGATGATGATGATGAGGATGATGATGGTGATGAAGGAGCTGGAGACGAGCCAATGCCGCAGGCACAGAGTTCAACTCCACCGATCACCTTAGAGCGTGTGTGGGAGCGCATGGATGGCATGTACAAGTACATGGGCCAGATGTCCACCCAGATGACTGGCATGTACGACTACATGGGGCAAATGACCTCCCAGATGAGCACAATGCAGGTGATCGTGAATGAGATGCGAGATGAGTGGCGATCTTTCAGCGGAAGATACATGCATCCCACCACATCCGACCACCATCATGCTAGCACCACCAATGAAGAAAATGTGGATGAGGGAGAGTGGGGAGATGAGTAGGAGCACGGAGATTTTAGAATGTGTGTTTTTATTGTTAAGTGGTCAAAACGATTGTTGATTGTTATTCTGTTGTTTTTTAGTTTTATTTTTATGTGTGAACAATTATGATTTCTGTTTTATTGTATTTTTTGTTAGTTTGTTTAGTTGTTATGCTATGAATTGATGAGTCCTTGTTATCATTATTTATGACTATTTATGATGGTTTGAAACATAATTTATACGAGAAAAAGAACCACACAAATCGACATACATAAGCAAAAAAGACACGGGGCATAGGTTGACTTTCTTGTATTCGGTCGACCTCGTACCGGATTAGGTCGACCTTGAAACCAACACTCGATCTTCATTTTATGTCAAATGATTGGACACTTTGATAGAACACTTATCTTCTATCTGGCCGACCTCTTTCCTTATCCGGTTGACCATTTTGTTAATGACTGCCATCAAATGGTCGACCATGTTGTTTCTGACGCCAACGAAATGGCCGACCGAGGTTTTATTCTAGTCGACCAAAAATAACAACTTAAACTAAGTGCGGTCCACCAGGTGGTCGTTGACGTCGACCGCAATGCTTTCTCGTGCTGCCCAAATTAGTCAATTCGGTCGACCGCCTTCAGAAATAGGTCGACCGAAAAGTCCATGTCACGGTGACATGCATGTCATAGTAAGCATACTCTAGACTTTATTATCGGTGGAGAATATCCTGGGGCACAATCCTTAATTTATAGCCTTCAAAATCGAAAGAAAATAGCATTTCGGGAAAGTCGGTCGAACTCGGTGATGGTACCCCTTAGGAGTGGCCAAAATTGGACCAAGAAGAAATCGGCCTAAATCGGTGCTTAATCGATTTAATCTTCGTTGAAGAATAGCCTCAGCGCCAATACTTGATCAACAACCTTAAATCCAAGGAAAATGGTCTTTCAAAAAAAAAAAACCACAAAAAAAAATTACGAAAAATGTCATCCGAAAATGAATTTGTCCTAATCGGTGCTCAATGGACTTAATCTTCGGTGGAGAATAGGATCCATAGACTTCACTATCAGTGGATAATAGTCTCGACCTGAATTCGTGATATGTAGCATTCGAAATCGAAAGAAAATGGTATATCGGGAAAATTCTCCGAAATAGGTGATGGTACCCCTTTGGAGACTGCCAAAAAATGGACTCGGAAGAAATCCGTCCAAATCGTTGCTTAATGGACTTAATTATCGTTCAAGAATAGCCTCAAGCAGAATCTGTGATATATATAATTCAAATTCCAAGGAAAATGGTCTTTTGAAAAAATCGCCCAAAAAAATACGAAACTGTCATCCGAAAATGAATTCGTTTAAATCGGTGCTTAATGAACTTAATCTTCGGTGGAGAGTAGGATCAATAGACTTCCTTATCGATGGAGAATAACCTCGGGTTGAATCCGTTATCCGTAGTCTTCAAAATTGAAAGAAAATGACATTTGTGAAAATCGCCCAAAATTGGTGATGGTACCCCTTTGGAGTCAGCAAAAAATGGACCCGGAAGAAATCCGCCCAAATCGGTGCTTAATGGACTTAATCGTCGTTGAAGAATAGCCTGAGGCCGAATCCATGATCAGTAGCTTTCAAATTCCAAGGAAGATGATCTTTCGAAAAAATCGCAGAAAAAAATTACCAAAATTCTATCTGAAAATGAATTCGTTCAAATCGGTGCTTAAAGGACTTAATTTTCAGTGGAGAATAGGTTCAATAGACTTCATTATTGATGGAGAATAGCCTCGGTTTGAATCTGTGATCTGTAGCCTTTAAAATCAAAAGAAAATGCAGTTAAGGAAAATCTCCCGAAATCGTTGATTGTACCCATTTGGAGTCTGCTAAAAATGTACCCGAAAGAAATCGCCCAAATCGGTGTTGAATGGACTTAATCTTCATTGAAGAATAGCATTAGGCCGAATCTGTGATCTGTAGCCTTCAAAGTACAAGGAAAATGGTCTTTCGAAAAAATTTACGAAAATGCCATATGAAATTGTGTTCGTTCTAATTGTTTCTTAATGGACTTAATCTTCAGTGGGGAATAGGATCAATAGATTTCATATTGGCAGGGAATAGCC